TAACAGCCTGGAAGAAAAATAGAGAGGAATAGAGTAACGGAACTTGTTCGCAACCTGAAAATAAATGGTAACTTAACTATTCTTCATCTATTTCCGTATTCTAAACAATTTAAACAGCAGATATTACTGCAAATGAATATTATTCAGTCCGAAATCATAAAAAAGGCTTATGACGAAATGTGAGAAACCGGGAACTTTGAAACGCAGATCACTCATGGTGTTAACCGGGTAAACATTACACAAATCTTTGAGCCCAGAACACGGATGATCAATAATGATGTAAATTTTTTAAATTTACTTCGACGGTGTTTGACAGATTTAAGTAAATTTGCTTCAGGGTGCCTGTTTGACAAAAAAAAAAAAAAAGAATAATAAATTTAAAAAATAATAAATGAATGAATTAATAAAATGTATATATAAATACCATAACAGCTTTGAAAACAAACCACTGTTGAGGTGAATATAAAAATTATATAAGCTTGTACTAGGGTTATAGGTTCTGTCAACGTGAACCCCTACCTTGGCCACGTCGGGTGCGGAGGCATGTACGAGGAGCACTTTCACTGCTGCCTGAACTGCAGTCACAGTCACAGATCAATCACTTCCGGTCTCCTCGAACTTCCACTAAACCTTCGATGATCATTACTACAAATACTAGACTGTGCATCATGAACAACGGATATTCAAGGCCAAATTATATATATATATATATATATATATATATATATATATATATGCATACATACATACATATTTACGCTTATATATATACGCACACACACACACATATATATATATATGTGGGTGTGTGTGTCTGTGTGTGTGTGTGTGTGTGTGTATGTAGATATATGCATATATATATATATATATATATATATATATATATATATATATATATATATATACATATGTATATATATACATATATTTATATTTAATCATATATATATATATATATATATATATATATATATATTTATATATATATACATATATATATATATATATATATATATATATATATTTATATATATATACATATGTGTGTGTGTGCGTGTGTATGAACATAAAAAATAGATATGCATACGTGTATTCATATTTTTGTAAATGTTTACAGAGATTCTAACAAACATACCATACATGAATACATACTAAAATGTTACATACATGCATACATAAATGTATACATTTCATTTAAATATATATGCATAATAATATATACGTGTATATATAGAGATAAAAAACATCCATCACATCTTTATGATAACTTTTCTTTTTAGTAGATTTACTATTTCAGTTTATTCATTAACTTATTTATTATATGTATGCTATTATCAATAGGCCATCTCTCAGAACAATTCATTTCATGTGTATACCCACGTTGGAATGTGACTAACGCACCTTAGTAATTATCAGTGTGTAGTTATCACCGCATGCACAATAAGCAAAAATAATAAATACACATCTTTATACGCATGCATATATAGGTGCAGATATTTATACACAAAACATATGGGCTGCACATCTTTTTTTTATAATATAAACGTGGGTATAGGTGAGTAAAGTAAACCTGCATTGCAGGATATCTTTATCAACCTCAATTTATCAGAAAAAAAAATAAAATGAGAAGAAAATATTTCACCACGACAAAAGCGTGAGATTAACATGTGTTACTTTGTTTCAATAAACAACCAAGAAATTGCTGAAATAAAGTGAGAGTGGAAAAGAGGGCGGAGCTGACTCGGACGCAGGGTATAAAAGTCGAGTCAGGCGAAGCTCACCTCATCTCACTGCCTCATTCTGATACACTTCCCATACTTGCATTCTGCATTGTTGTGCACTGTACCGAGATCAACATGAGGATCATACTTTGTGGTAAGTATTTATTAGGAGCACTTGAATACACAAGTTATCCAACAATGGTCATGTATTTGAAGATTCTCTCACTCCCCTTTATTTCTCTTTTAGTTTTGGTGAGCGTTATCTCTGCGGACATACCGCCATCCAATACCTATGGAGCCCCGAACGGAGGGTTCTCAAACGGCTTTGGCTTTGGAGCTTTGAATGGAGCTTCAAACAACGGTTTTGGTGCCCCAAGTAATGGTTATTCTGCACCAAGCAACACCTATGGATTGCCCAACGGCGCCTACGGAGTAGACCCTGAGATTGCCGCTCTGGCCGAGAACATTCCCGGGGGCGGCGTCCCCGGCGAGGACTACCCCATCTTGGCTTCCGTGCCCGACACCGGCTTCTCCTGCGATGCCGTAGCGGTGCAAGGTTATTACGCCGACACTGCAGCTGAAGCCGGCTGCCAGGTGTTCCATATCTGCCAGGACCGCGCCCTCAGACGCCAACAGGACTCGTTCCTGTGCCCCAACGGTACCATCTTCAACCAGCAGTACCTGGTATGTGACTGGTGGTTCAACGTGGACTGTTCTCAAGCTGAGAGCTTCTACTCCGTCAACGAACTCATCGGAGTCGTTCCCGACGCCGGTTATGCCTATGCTACCGCCACCAACGGCATCCTCAACGGAAACGGAAACGGATATGGAGCCAACGGCAACGGAGCCAACGGAAACGGAAGGAACGGAGCTAATGGATACGCTTCCAATGGCAACGGAAGGAATGGCAACGGAGCCACCAATGGAAACGGATATCGCTCAAACGGCAACGGCAACGGCGCTAATGGCTTCAATGGCAATGGCAGGAACGGCTATGCTTCTAATGGCAACGGCAACGGAGTCTCCAATGGCAGGAACGGCTATGCTTCTAATGGCAACGGCAACGGAGTCTCCAATGGCAATGGCAGGAACGGCTATGCTTCTAATGGCAATGGAGCGAACGGTGTCAATGGAAATGGTTTCAACGGCAATGGATATAGATCCAATGGCAACGGTAATGGAAGGAATGGCAATGGAAATGGTAACAGGTACAATGGCAATGGAAATGGTAACAGGTACAATGGCAATGGTCTGCGAACAAATGGAAATGGAAGGAACGGCAACGGTAATGGAAGCGGATATAATGGCAATGGCTTCAATGGTAACGGAAATGGCAATGGGAGAAGCGCCTCCAACGGCAATGGCAACGGATATAACGGCAATGGCTTCAATGGCAACGGAAACGGAAACGGAGCTGTCGCTCCGTCTGCCTCCTATGGCGCTCCTTTCTAAACGGACCCTCGTTCACATCCTAAACTGGCTTTCCTCAGTAAACGCATGTATATTTCAGCGCTTAATAGATATTCTATATTTTTGCAAGAATACATATCAAATTGATATTTTATTTTCATAAACCTAGTATTATTGTACTTGAAGATATTATGATTGTTAAAGTACATGATCCAGCATGCAATAACATCTGCTCAGTAATTTTGAGAGTGTATATGAGATTCCTGCACGGCGGCCGCCATGGTGCAGCGGCTGGGGACTGTGGTGAACGCGATGTAGTCCTACTAGTTACGGGAGCCCAGACTAGGAAAATCCCCTCTTGACAGCAGCAGCACCATCTGTGGCGTACTTGGCAGCCACCTCTTTAATCTTTTACCTATTTTTTTCATCTTCTTTTACGGCCTCAATTTTATTCTCAATTTCTTTTAATAGTTGAATAAGTTTCACTTATATTTTCATTTATTCTATTTAAAATATTTTTTTACGAAAAGACAAACGAAGAGATATAAACCCTAGTCTTGCCGCCAAACTCTCTGTTGTGTTGTTTTGCTCGTCTGTTCAGTGTGCTTCACGGAGCGCCCGGAATCAACGAACCCCTCACTGGAGTTTTTCTTGTCTACGGGAGAGAGAGAAGTATATTTTCATTGTTTACAAGAGGCCAGTTAGGATGTGATATGTGAGTGTAACTTCTGAGAATATACCCCATCTTGAGGAACCACAGGTCTTCTTTTAATGTTTTGGTTTCGTCTTATCCTTGGTTGATTTCGGACTTTGGATTTTTACTGTTTTATCTAATTCTAAATTTTAACGGTAGGAGTATGGACAGTAAACCTAAGTAAGTATAAAAGAAAAAGGATAAGTTAAAATGAGCACATGATATAAACAAAGAAATGGAAAACAAAGTGAATTATCATGACTGACTATATTTTTCAACTTGTTAATGATAATAAATGGGAAGAAGTTATAACTAAAGATGAAGACAACACTTAAATACTTACGAAAGGGCTTCAGGGTTGTATCGAGCGGGTGGCACTATATTACACGCCTTGCTACCATTCCATAAACCAACCCCCCTGTTCGAAGGTCATACTCTGCAAGACCCGTGTTGCAGTCATGTTGCAGAGTAGAGGTACACTACAGGACATGAGGGCCGGTCACCCAAGCGACTGTGTTAGGATTCGGAACCGATGGTCCGAGAAGGGCGTCCATTCGGGGGAACGGACGCCACCTGCCGCGCCAAAGCCCTCCGGGAAAAGGCTTCGTCCTGGCCCTTGCGAGGAAGTTCGTGCCGTAAAACCGAATCATGTGAGATTCCTGCATGCAATAACATCTCTGTAATGAAGGTATGCCAGGCTGTATGGAAGAGTAAGGACGAAACATTTCATTATCTTCTCTATCGATGTTTTATAAATCCCTGCATATAATAGGAGTTGCAGTAAAAAGCAAAGACGCATGTATGCTGCAAAGGGAAAAAGAAAACGCCAAGAGTTTCATATAGCAAAAAGCTGAAGGAGCATCAGACCCATGACTGCAGAGAACAAGGCCTGGACTCCAGCCGTTAATCCTTTAACAGACGTTAAGATAGGTTCTCATCCCTTTACTCTCGTGATCTCTTTACGAAACCATAAAATATATCCAAAAATAGTTCTTGGTTTCACAGGGCACTTCTGTGTTGAGATAAATTCACCATTTTAAAAAATGCAAGATTCTTCAGGGCACCTCCCGCTTCCACAAAACCTAACATCCTGGAAAAGATTAGAGAGGAAGAGAGTAACAGAGCATGTTCACAACCCGAAAATAAGGATTAATGTACCTATGCTTCATCTGTTT